AGCATGCGCAGACGTGATTTCCAGCACCGCGGAAGCAAGTCCCCGTGCCGTGCTGCGCTGGTTTAGCACAGTGCATGGGGACTCGCCTAGCGGGCGGCTCAGTTAGGGGGTGGCTCGTGGGCTGGTTAAACGACCCCCGTGGGCTGCTTGTGGCCGGTGGGCCTTAGGTTGCCTACCCCTGGACTAGAGGACCCTTTTGGCCCCTCCCAACACTACAATTCTATAGTCTATGAGCCTTCCACTGAAACAGATACATCTCTATCTTTAAGCCCTGCACAGAATATCCATGTCTGTCCTGAAAGGCGGGGAGGTCCTATCAGTGATTTTGTACAGAAAAGAATAACTTCTGAAGATCAACCTGTGAAATGTGGAAATTATATCCTCTGGGTCCAATGTCCAAGCACATCCTAATAGATACTACTGATCTTCAGCATTCAGACTTCTGTTTATTCTCTGCCATCCAGGCAATCATACCTAGTATGCAGAGCCCCCAGCCATGCAGACATTGAGGCCCAGTGGAAATCTGCCTCCATATCTTGCCAGACCCAGCATAGAGTAATAACCACACTGATTGCAGAGCTTCTGGGAGTCATCAGCTTCCAGCAACAACTCTGGAAGCTTCAAAGACATCTTTCCGCTTTCCCAAGACCTTTGGGTGGAAAAGCCATGCCTCCTCTGATGCAGAGGCCTGAATTTGACTCATGTGCATTAATGCAAGTCTTCCACAGACCTGGATCAAAATTATGGGGGTGGGGAACCAACTTCAATTCCCAGGGAAACCCAAGAGGACTGAGAAGAATGGAGGGGAGGGGAGGCTTATCCATTGACTGCTGGCTGCAAAATGAATTCAGAAGCTGCATCAGAAGGATGACACAAATCCTTTGAAATGTATTCCTGAAGACTCCTGCCTGGTATGTGCCACCTAGCAGCACACAGGGGCGAGGGCATTATCAAAACAGCATCTTCCCCTGTCATGCAGCTGTTTCGATTAAGAAATGAAGGGCTGCTTGTGCTGCATTTCGCAAATCAGGGAGGAGTGTTTGGAACAGGTTCTGGGAGAGCCAAATAGGCAGTCAGAGCACATAGGACCACATAGTCTATTTGTGGGTAATTAGGGAAATATACAAAACAATGGCTAGTAAGAAAGGAATGGGTTAGTATGGGCGGGGAGAACAGAATATTATCTTTCTGGTGCCTCGAACTGTCATAACAAGATGAAGTGGTGACTCTAAGGCACTCCGCTGCAGAGCTGCAGGAGTTTTTGAAGGAAGCTGGTTTGAAGATTTATGTTTACTTTCCAAAACAAAGAGATGTTGGCAGCAAAGTCTTCCTTGAAGCTGATGAGCAGCCAATATACACCCCGCTCCTTCTCCTGCTCCTCCACCCCCACAACTCTGAACATCCTGCTCACTTTGTAAAGCATCCATGCATATGCTATCCTGGACCCCTTGTGGCTGGAACAGCATGCCAAAGTATCAGTTCTGGAGCCTCATCTCTGGACACTCAGCCACCGGAGCAGCCCAACATGTCCCTGGTGTCTACAACAAACACAGTCAAAAGACTAAGTGAGCAAGCAAGCTAATGCAGGACTCGCAACCTGACGCCACATTCCACAGTAACCAAAAACAGCAGGAATTATATCTGTGAGGAAGCAACAGAGAAGTCACGCCAGGATCGGAACCACAGCAGAAAAGAAGAGTGGGCCGCCTGACACCGGTGGTGATGGGGAGTGGAAAACAGACCTGCTGTGCAATCCTCGGCAAGTTTACTCAGACGTAAGTCCCACTGCTCTCAGGTAAGTTTGCATAGCATTGTAGGCTCAGTGACTGAGGTGGAAGCGCTGAGTTTCTCAAGTTTTGATGATGTAGAAACTGTGTCAAATTCTTCTCTCTCTCTCTCCTTTGAATGCTGGTGGAAATATCTTCTGGATGTGCCTGAGGAAGCCAGAGAGGTCCTTCCTGATAGGCCTGGTCTAACAGCCCCAGAGAGCTCGCTAGAAGTTGTTAGGCTCTGTAGGGTCAGTGCATCTGGCTGTTTTGATGGGTCAAGTCCACCCAGGTACCATGAGCAGGATTCCTGCATTGCAGGGGGTTGGACTAGATTACCCTGGAGGTCCCTTGCAACCCTACGATTTTGTGATTCTATGACTCCTCAGTCCCATCCAACATTACCAATGGTCAGGAATGATGTTAGTTGTAGTCCAGTAATATCTGGAGGGCCCAAGGTTAGCCACTCTTGGACTGGAGGAAACGCAGAGAAATGCCAGAGAAATTCTAGAAGAGAAGAGGACCGTGGACCGCCTGGGAAAAGGCAAAGAGACACCCTGCATCCGGCTCTCTTGTCTTTCTCTGCCTCTCTCTCACACACATACAACACACCCAACCATCGATTCTCTCCAGAGGAGCTGCCTGGAAAACTTAAGACTGGAGCCACGAGGCAGACCTGAGCTGTGGGGTGCGGGGAACCGAGAGAGCGAGCGAGCGAGCGAGCGTGCGGTCCGACTCCGAGCAAGCGGCCCTCTGGAGAACGAAGGCGCTCGAAGTCCGCCAAGAGTTACCCGGGTCGGCGGCGGAGAAGCAGCCCTGCCGCGACAACCGCCCGCTCCCCTTCCGAGCTACTTGCTCCGCTCCAGAGTCTCGCTTCTCCACCCGCCCCCCCCCCGCGCCGCGCATTTGCCCCGCTCTCTCCTCCCCGCCCCAGTCTAGGGGGCGCTGCGCTCGCGCTTTTCCGCCCGCCGCACTCACCGCGCGCTCCGTCTCGGCAGATCGGGCGCCTCCTGCTGCGCGCGGCTCTCCGGGGACCATGCTCCGAGGATCCGGGCCGGGAAGCGCCTCCCTCTGCCCTCGGGTACCGGCCCTTCCAGGGCATCGAATCCGCTCCCTGCACGGGAGACACACGGTCACCGGCGGCCTGGTCAGAGCCACGAGGAATACCTACACCGGGGAGGGAGCAAAGAGGAGGGCCCCCGCGCCCCTTTCCCTCTTCCCGACGGCCAGAGATTTCGCCTCTCCCCGCTCTGGGACAGAACTGCGCACACCCACAGCCCTTTCCCCGCGAGGACCACGAGCTCGCCAGCCCCCCTCCTTACCTCCCGGCGGCGGCGGCGGCGGCAGCGGCTCCTCGGCGGCTCCTGCGCTCACCCGGCCCCGGGGGCCATAGCCCGGCCCCGCCGGGATCGCTCCCTCGGGCGCCCGACGTTCACGTCGCCTGCATGGCCGGCAGGTGCCCGGTGGGCTCAGCGCCCCCCTGCGGGGAAAGATCGGGTTAGAGCGGCTGGCGTCCGGGCCGGAGTCGGCAGGGCAGCCCCGATCCCGGGACTCCACGCCGGGCCGGACTCACCGCACACGGCGAGGCAGGGAGCCGGCGGGGCGCTCGGCCCTCGGGAAGCGGACCTACGGCCGGCCGGGCTCCGGGACAGGCGGCCTCTGGCAGGAAGAAAAGCACCGGCTCCATCTCCGCGGCTGGCAGAGTCTGGTGTCAAATTCCAGCCTCCGCTGTCACCTGATCCCCAGGGCGGGGCTCGCCCGAGAGACAAGAGAAAGAGCCACGGGTGGGACCTCGCCGCACCCCACCCCGGCCGCCAAGCCGAGCAGACGGCGCAGGCGCCGCCCCTGGGACCGGCGCGGAGGCCCTTGGGGCCCTCGGGCAGCTGGCGCCCTGGCGACGGTCATGGGGCACTTCTCTGTCTCCTAGTCCTCGCTGCCACCATACAGTGGGGGGATTTGAGGCTGCGGGCACTTTCGCTCTCTGGACAACATGGTGGAGAGGATTGGGCCCAAGGAGAGCCAGAGTGAGGTGCTGCTTCTGCCGGCTTGCGCTCTCTCTCTCAGGGAAGTGCAGCAGGGAGGGTGCAGGTGAGCAGAGGCAGCTGCTCATGCAAAACGTGGGCCACCCACATACTCACTCTCACCTGCATCCTCCCTCGTGGTGGCACAGTATTGGGCATGACGTTTGCTTGCACTCTCAAGCTGGGCAGTCCTTACTGCTGCATCACCCGCAGGCAGAGCTGCCCAGGGCAGGAGAGAGCAGGTGAGTGGCTGGAAGCCGTGGCAGTTGCTCCTTACATCCACTGCTAGGGGAGGTACAGAGCAGTCCTTGCCCACCCAAACTTCTCAAGGATGTTGTGCCACAGCAGGAACTGGTCTGTAGTCCATGCCAGTGCGGTGCTGGTGTCTCAGCAGCGGCTTGGCAGTGCTGATCCCTGACCCCAGTAGCTGAATCGCAGCTGCCTTTCTCTGGACAGAATGGCAGACGCACAGTGCTGTTCTGCCAAGTTCTGCTCTTGTCTCATCAAGCTCCCCGAGTCCCTACTTCCAGGTGCTCAGTAGCAGTCACTCTGGATTTGACTGTCTTCTATCCCCCGCCCCATCATCCTTAGATAGTAATAATTTGTATGACTTTGCTCACTTATAAAGTCATGCATTGGGGGTCCTTCATCATTTTGCTGCATGGGACCCTTGACTTCTGCCCCCAGATCCTGGCCTGAAGGCACTGCTGCCCAGGAGCATGTGCTAGGGGCCTGGGAGATTCTGGGTTATGGGGTACAGTGGTCTTGTTGGAGAGCAGCTAAGCCACACTGGAAAGTCTTCCTTTTTCTGATTCCATGGAATAGAGGCAAGGCACCACCTAGTGTAACAAGCATGCCCCCTTTCCCCAGCTATTCAAGTGCACATGCAACTCCCCTCTCTCCTTAAGCTAGACTGGTGCCTGTGGCCACTCTGCTTTTGCTGGGGACCAGGGGCGTCTTACCCATAGAGGCGCGGGGCGCCAAGTTCTGGAGGGCGCCAGTGAAGAGGCGGAAGCTGGATGCGGTACCTCCTGGCATCAGCTTGCCACCCTCGCCCACCTCCGTCTGCTGTGGCCACTGCGGCATGAAGTGGCCAGCTGAGCCGGGAGGTGCCACTTCCATTCTCCACCTCTTCCCCACCGGAGGAGCCACCCTCCAGTCGCTGCCTGCCTCCTCCAGCCCCGCCAGCAGCTCCGTCCTCCCTGAAAAACTCTGGGAAATGGGGGCGGGGGGCACCAGAGGGAGCTTTGCACCACGGCGCCAGATATGCTTAAGACGGCCCTGTTGGGGACTCGACACAAATGTAAGCAGATATGGCACACTGGTTTTCATATGCACCTTTGGAAGACTCAGTTACTCTGATTAACACTTCCTCATTCAAAACATAAAAGGCTGCTTTAGTCCAAGTCAGATCATTGGTCCACCTAGCTTGCTATCATCCACCACCATCCCATGAGTCCTGCCCAGCTTGGCTGCTTCAGCTTGGGCTGATGGTTTGGAAAGGCTGGTCTACACAGCAGTTCTCCAGTATTGACCTTCCTCAGCAATATCTGGAGATGCTGGGGGCTAGATGAGGGATCTTCGGCTCTGCTGCTGAACCACAGTCCTTCCTTGCCGGCTGCAAGGAGCTGCAAGGAGAAGCCTGGATCTTTTCTGGAAATCACCACTGGCGTTGCTCACATGTCCCACGAACCCCCTCCCCACGCCAAGTGGATCATGGATTAACTCCCACATAGCTGCCGAGGGTATACCTTGCTAATCTGTTTGTGGGCAGACAGCCCAGTTCTTACCTCCAACTCTTATGTTCTTCTCCGGACCTCAGCGGAGGGACTGAGATAGCTCAGCAGAACCACCACCCCAGGTCCCCAAGCACCCTACCCCTTGGAGGCCTGGGAAGGGAATGTGTTCCCTGCGCCTTCCCGGCTCCCCTGGCACCAGGCAGCTCTCAAGGGCACCAGCTTGCATCCAGTTCTCACATCCCGTCCCCTTCCCTGCCTGCTGCCGCTGCTGTACATCGTAAGCCCCTTTGCACCGTTTCTCTGCTGGCTGCACTTGCCCTCAGCTGCTCTCTCTTGCCTCTAATTAGCTATTCCAATGGAGTGAGCCAAATGGGGCGCTTGCTGTTGGCACAGGATCTAAACTGGGATCGCTTGATAAATTGCCAACCCAATCTCTCTGGGCTTATATAATAATTCTTTGCTCCAGAGAGGAACTGCACGCTCATTAGTGGTTTCCACTGCTGGCCAGAGAATGGGCCTGGGGGATGCCTCTGCACCTGGCCCTTCCCCCACCTCCTGCCCTGGGCCAGCTATATATAGGCCAAGCATTATTTACTCTTAGCTACATAGGGTCTTACCCCTGAGCACATTTGCTTAAATCGGTTAGGATTATCCTGTATGACAGCTCCGTTTCGTTAAAGTGTAGCCAGCCACTCCTCCCTTACTTACACTTGCTGTGCAGTGATCTTAATAAGCATTATAGTGTCAAGTAAACCTATTGCTAAAACTGCCCTGCTCAAGGCAGTCTCAGTGGGATAACGCTTTAGAGACAGCACCAGCTTTAGACCCAACCAGGGTGTCATGCTAAATCTACTAGTGTGGACCCAAGATCCTTGACAAACTGGGTTTTTAGGGAGGAGGAGATTTGAATCCTGGCCCCAGCAAGGAGCAGTGCCAACCCCACCCCCTCACTTGATGTGTTGCAACTGGGAAATATAAGAACAATAACTGGTGCCAGAGATGTTTGTTTTGCTCTTTCTACCCCACCCCTTCCCCCCACCCCTTTTTGGGTCCTGCCTTTTAGATTGTAAGCCTGCGAGCAGGGACTGCCATGTTTTTAATCTGTGCAGAGTTTATTAAAAACGTAGGTACTTTGTAAATGAGAAAGCATAACAATTGAAATCAAAAGGGAAGGGGGCATCCAATGAATGTTGGGAAATTCAGAACAGATGAAAGGAAGTACCTCTCCCCACACTGTCTAGTGAAACTATGGCATTTGCTCCCACAAGGTGTTGGGGTGGTCACCAACTTAGATGGCTTTAAAAGAGGATTAGACAAATGCACAGGGGATAAGGCTGTCAATGGATACTAACCATCCTATGTTGTACCTTCACTGTCGGAGGCAGTATGCAACTGAATACCAGTTGTTGGGGAAAATGTGGTTTTGGCACTCAAGTCCTACTTGCAGTCTTTTTATACACATCTGGCTGGCCACTTTGAGAACTCAGTGTTGGACAAAATGGGCCTTTTGTCTGATACCACAGTTCTCTTCATATAAGCTTTCCATGGACATACCTGGGGACCCTCGGTGGCATGAATACTGCCTCACAAGTACTTCTCTGGGAGCAGAGCAGCACTTATACCACACATCAGATGACCTTTGTCTGGATTTAGGAATGTAGCGTAACGGAGTCTTTTATGTTCGCTTTTATCAGCACCGCAATTTTAGGTGTTTTTGAACTATATGCTTTTTGTGGGGCTCTGCTGCCATTTTTGCTCCGTTTTAATATCAGCGTTGGTTTGTTGTTGCTATGTATTTTTAAATCAGTTTGCCATAAGCTGCCTTGTGGGGTCTAGAAATGGAGAGGCTGGGAAGAAACCCTCTTGATAAATAACACATATACAGATGGTAAAGACTGCCTGAGTCTGATTACAGTGAAACCCAAAAGTGGATGCAAGAGCTATTTAAAGAAGAAGGTATATTTCTCACTGTTTTTGGAACAGAAAGCTGGTTGACTGCAGAATTTATGGTCTGTGCTAAATCTTGGATGATCTTCTCTGTTGCAGGCTGTCAGGGACATGTCAGGGACCAAGGTAACAGCAGTGCATGTAGTGTTTATATATATATATATAGATATATAGATATTAGATATGCCTTAAGCCTATATCTCTATCTCTATCTCTATCTCTATCTCTATCTCTATCTCTATCTATCTATAAACTGCTGCTGACACCCTGCTATAAGTGGGTGTGAGCAGGTGAGATGGGGTTAGCTTTTATTGACACCTTGAAGCATATTAGTGTTCAAATTATTATTAGTAGTATTATTTTCTGCCACCCCCCCCCAACAGCCCTAAGCCATTTGTATCAATTTCCTATGCCTTCAAGGATGGGGATATGCCTGTCATTTTTTGATAAAATGATTGTTTCCTGCCCTGACCCCGTGAGATAAGATGGACTATAAATAAAATGAAGCAAATTGCTTGCAATCAGCTAGCTTGACCTTCTGAAGAAATAAAAGTCTCATCTCAAAAAAGCCTCAAGTGTAGCGGTGTTAACCATTTAACTCTATTTTCACAGTTGGAGCAGACACATTTAAAATCACCCACTGCCTTCCACTAAGCCAAAACTAAGCAGTACAACCAGTCCACAATGCTGGCGACAAAGGCCCTAATTGGGATAATTTTTCCACATGAGGTGGACCTGTGGAACGGTTAATAGTTTTTGGTTAAAAGTTTTACTATAAAAGGTCAACAGATATATTGTACACTAAAGCTGTACATTATTGGATGGACAAAACAAAAACTTGCTATACAAAGAATTCTGCTATTTGTGATAGTGGCAGCCATGCAAGTATAACCTAAGAATTAACACAGAGAAGTAACATGATTGGACCATGGGTAGAGCAAAGTGTGCAACATTCCCTTGGCCAAAAAACCCTCTAACCAACCAAGTAAAAGCCGCTAAAGGGAAAACACATGGGTCAAATTACGTATTTTATTGTTTTCTTACTTCTGGAAATGAAATAGTTGGACATAGGCTTCAGATACTGGACAGATGTTCTAAGTTAATATAAAGAAAATGTTCTTGCACAATTTTTCATTCTCTGTACTTACATTGTAAGTAAACTGTATAGAATGGGGGGCGGGCGGTCTGGATTATATCCATGGGTCCCTTCCAGGCCCGAGATCTTGTATCTGTGGGGTTAGAACAGGGGTCAGCAACCTTTTTCAGCCATGGGCCAGTCCACCGTCCCTCAGACCATGTGGTGGGCCGGACTATATTGGGGGGGGGAGGAATGAACGAATTCCTATGCCCCACAAATAATCCAGAGATGCATTTTAAATAAAAGGGCACATTCTTCTCATGTAAAAACACTGATTCACGGACTGTCCACGGGCTGGATTGAGAAGGCGATTGGGCCGCATCCGGCCCCCAGGCCTTAGGTTGCCTTCCTCTGGGTTAGAATATGTAAGATGAAATCTGTTGAACCAGTTAAACCAGTTCCTTTGTTAGCTCCACTAAATGTTCATCACCAGCATCTTAAAGAGTGAGTCCTGTTGTCATAGAGACAAATGGGTGGGTCTTTTCCCACCTCACCTGACTGGATGCCGCATCATCCTAGGATTGAAAACAGTAGGCCAAGAGGGGCTGTGAGTGAGATAGTTTTGGCTAACGCTGGAAGCTGGAGACACAGAGGCTTGGTCTGTGCTGGACTCAAAAGCTGTGGCTTGGGGATCCCCCTGGGAACCTAATGAGGAGGCAAGATCAGTTGGTGTGTTTATGCTGCGAGCCCTTCTATGCCCATCCTATGCTCAGGCTGTATATATGTGCAACCTGAGCTTCTTTCCTGAAACTGGAAACCTGGGTAAACATTGGGTAAGTCTCTTGCCGTTTGGAGATTGGGGTGAACAATACCAATTGCAAATGTTACACCTCCTCCTACTTAGTTTTTGAAAACAGTAAACATATTTTATTTTAAAAGTGGGGTAGGATAATGGAATCTACTTAGGGTACAGGGAAAGAGTAAAGAGTTAAACCATGACAGGTGCCACTTGGCCTATACAGCATCAAAAGCATATTTGTTCCTTAAAATACTGTAGCACAGGAAAAATGTTGTTTGTGGGGATCAGTTGTCCTCCTTGCCAGAATAGAAATTCTAATATTTTTCTAGAATAGTTTCAGAGGAGATTGGTTGAGGTACAACTATAGCAGCCTTTGCCAACTTGGTGGCTTCCAGAGGTGTTAGATGACAACTTCCACCCGATTTGATGGAAGTTTTTATTATTCTTATTATACTTTTTCTTTTGCAGGTAACAATAAAGAGCAACTGACTTCAGGCTGGAAACCTGGAAAGTCACAGGAGAGATGCATACATATGTAAGATGAGTAAGTATAATCCGATACATTCATTTTACAATATATTCTAATCATGAAGTTCCAGATTTCTTTTTATGTGCAGAACGCGGGTGGCGCTGTAGGTTAAACCACAGAGCCTAGGACTTGCCAATCAAAGGTCGGCGGTTCGAATCCCCACAACGGGGTGAGCTCCCGTTGCTTGTTCCATGCTTCTGCCAACCTAGCAGTTCAAAAGCACGTCAAAGTGCAAGTAGATAAATAGGTACCGCTCCGGCGGGAAGGTAAACGGCGTTTCCGTGTGCTGCTCTGGTTTGCCAGAAGTGGCTTAGTCATGCTGGCCACATGACCCGGAAGCTGTACGCCGGCTCCCTCGGCCAATAAAGCGAGATGAGCGCCACAACCCCAGAGTCGGTCACGACTGGACCTAATGGTCAGGGGTCCCTTTACCTTTACCTAAAGAATCTTGTACATTATTGGTAAAGTCCCAGCATATTGCATATAAGTGCTCTGCAGAATCTTTGCCTTTAATTACACAAAGTTTGTGGGTTATTTTTTCAGCGATCACCAGTCTGCAAATCTTTGTACCATAATGCAAGAGCCAACTTTAATGTCTTCCATTTTTGTGTTGCAGAAATTCTGGCAGCTGCCAGCATCCAAGTAATAGCTCTTTTGAAGGAAACAGCTTCATATTATTATCCCACATATTTAATAAATAAATAAATTTGTGAGGTTGCTTGAATCTGAAACTTAAATATGTTTGACATTTCTGCAAATATCTCTTTCATGGACATTCCCACCATAAAGGGGAAAAAGTTCCCTTTTGAACACACTCTCCTCCAACAGAACTGGGAAGGTTGAGAGTTTATGTGTGAGATCTGAACAGGAGTTTGGTGCCATCTATGTAATATTGTACTTTCAAAGAGTATTCTTGGATATAAGCAGATATTGACTTGAAGGGTTTACTTGAGCAAATACCATTCCACATAGTCTTCAGTGCTGAAATTAAGGTCTCTCCTATGCAGTTTTCAGGCCAACTAATTGGCCGGTAGTTGTGTAATAATTCATACATGGTAGAGATCAAGACTCTTCCTACATGCCCTTGGTTTAAGAGTATAAATTCAAATTTAGTTAACGGTCTGGTGGCTTGTGCAATTAAAACATTATCTGCTAAATAAGTGGGAGAACTGTATTTATTGTAACCAGTAGAGTCCCAAGTCACCTGTATTTATTGTTAGTTGTTCTTTGGATATTTGTTTATCATTAGCATAAAAACTACAAAGTCTAAATAAATGTTTTTTCTTCCATAATAGGATGAGATTTCATGGAACTGGATCTTGGACTTGGGTGTGAAAGCCAAGTGATATTAAAGGTGAACACAGAGGAGATAGACATCGCTGCCACCTTTTCCATATTGTGTTCTTTGTATATGGGTTGCTGTATTTTATCTAAAATTGTTTTGGAAATTCAGGAGTACCCATATTTTATTTTATATCATTTAGCCTTTGAGGTCAATCCATTTCTTATTTGTTTTAGTGATGATAAAATTACATTGACATCGTTGGAATGCATCGTGAGATAAGGCTAGGTGTGGTAGCCCTTATCCACTCCCTTGATTTCTTGTAAAAAATAATAATAATAGCCAGCCTGGACCATTTTTTATTTTTTTTACACAAACACAAACTTTTAAAGTATCATTTACCATTTCTTGAGTCAATTGGGTGGAAGTCAAATTGGAAGCAATTGGGAAGGATATAAAATTTTAGGTATTATCATCATTTGAATAAACACAGTTATGAAGTTGAAAGATGTAGTTTATCCCATCAACCCAAGGCTCCTAACTTTTTGTAAGAGTATAATTTAAAATGTATAATTTATTCAATTTATATGGGCTTTTTACCCCTAAAAATTAGTCCTACAATGTGGAATAGGTATTTGCTGAAGCTTAATTTGCTCCATTGGGCCTATATTGTGGTACATGATCTATGATTTATTGAGATTGGTTTTAAGGCCTGCCATTTTTCCAAACTGACCTAATTCTGATTTTAGCATTGGTGAGGTGTCCAGTGGATTAGTTAACATGCAAATCATGTCATCAGCATAAATGCTCTTCATCCTTTCCTCAATCACCGCTAATATGAGGGTTGAGTTGCAGCGAAATTGCTAAAGGTTCTAGAGAAAAGGGAAAGAACAGTGAGGACAGAATATACTGTATCATTTATCTTGCATCTGATGGACAACGTGGTTCAAAGCATCTGGAGGGCACTAGGATGGTAAAGGCTGGGCTATAGTATCAATTTTGAAACCATCTTCTGCCCCTCGCCTGGTCAGAGAACGTTCTAGGGTCTTTTTAACATTCTGGTAGGTTTTATTACATTCTATGCTAGGAATGTGCTGCTCTTTTTCAGTTAGTGTGTCTAGGATTTGGGAATCATTCTGAAATGTCGGCCAAATTATCACTTGTTTTGCGGGGAAATAACATTTTCCCAGCAATAAATAGCTTTTCTTGTTGTTGCTGGTAAAGAAAAAAAGAAAGGAAAGTGTTTCTTCTTCCAGACAGCATGTCAATTGCAGCAGCATGCTTGGTGTGGAATGTGGTTCTGGCATGTCAGAAGCACTTTTTGGTTAATGTCAGTGATGTCACTGGTGACAAGCACCACTCTTCCCCACCCCCTGGTGGTACTTTTAAAGTTGTTGTTGTTTTAAAAAAACATGTTTCTTTAAAAAAAAATCTTTTCAGGAGTTAAAGGTCTTTAATGAGATTTCCTTCTGTAGCATAACAGCAGGAGTGCCAACTGCAGCCTTGTTAAATGTGTAACGAGCTGGGCGAACCCCATCAAGACTATTTCCTCCCCTGCAATATTGTCCTGACATTTCCTAATAAATTATAATCATAATAATATTCCCTCTAGACTGTGTGTTCCTCACCAATGCTGGAGTGCACAAACTTTGTTAAGTAAGTCAAAGAAAAACTCAAAATACAATACTCTAAAGTTGCAATCCAAAACACACTACAGAGTAAACATCATTGAACATATTTATTTAAATTTATATCCCACATTTTCTCCAAGGAGCTCAAGGTGGCACACACACTCCAGTTTATCCTCACAGCAATCCTGTTAAGTAGGTTAGGCTGAAAGACTGTGGCTGGCCCAAGGTCAGCCAGTAAGCTTCATGACTGAATGAGAATTCAAACACTGCTCTCTCATGTCCTACCTAGTCCAACACTTGAGGTGCCACACCACATTATTAGGACATTCTTTTGAGTCAATATATAATATATAGGGTTGTACCTAGGGACCTAGATGAAGAACATCGATTCCTGACAGTACGTGATATGCAATTTGCATTAAAAGGTCCTCTCTGCATTCTTATAAAAAAACAACAACCAACCTCAACAACTTACTTTGGCCCAAAACAATTAACAGATTCTGAAAATGCTTGCAACGTAGTTTATTTCCCCCCACACGTGCTTAGTTTGTTCAAATACTGAGTTCTTCTGTGGCTTATTTTATAGATCTTGTATTAAAGCCTATCTTATAACTCTGTTAATGTCGCTGGAGTGGGTTTGTTTGTTTTGATGAGTCATTCTGACAGGAGCATCAGGAGCCATTCTAGAACTGCTGGAACTGTGATCTTGAAGTAATGGCTTGAATCTAATCTTCCCTCATTAAAGCAGGTCTTTTAATAGACAGTCAGATTTAAAATGTACAGTTATAGGGGAAAACGGGTAATTCAGAAATAACATTCAGGCAGTTCACAATTTCAAATCGTTTAAAAGTTGTATTCTCTTAGGCGATTTGCTGGAGGAAAAGGTGTCTGAACTTCAGCAGAGTTAATTTCTAATAACCAGAACCCATTCCTTGTCCCTTTCAGGGACTTTCTGTGTGATATCAGCAGTAGCTGGCATTTTTCTTGGAAGCAAAAATAGTGGGGGGTTTTCCTTTAAGTTCCCAGGCCCAGCTAAGGAAATATGCTATGTTCCTTTCATTACCATTCACATCACAAAGCAGACCACTCAGGCAACACTGGTAGACAGGTAGCCCTTAACAAAGAAAGATATTCTGTGCCTCTCAAGACTGGAAAAGGACTTTCTCCAAGACTTTAGCTGTCTATTTATTAACAGCATTCATGTCCTGCCTTTCTGCCTCAACAGGAGGGTCTCTAGGTGGTTGTTAGTTCAAAATGCCACAAGGCTCTTTGTTGTTTAGGCCTCAGTATGTTGGTTCCTCCCACAGATATCATTGCTGTTGGCACTGGCTGCAGAAATGTCAAATCACCTATTTTATAATGTCTGTAATGTTAAAAGTGATTTGCCATCAACACTGTGTTTTGTGTTGTTCCTTCTATTCCCCCTCCCCACCGCATCCTTTCTTCAGTTTTTTTTGAATACGTAGACACAGAATTTAACGTACCAGTAAGCTGAAGGGAGGGCAGGGTTGTGAGAGAGGAAGCCACGGGAAATGGAGGCTGATTAACATATGTCACACATCACCAGCTTGTATAATTGGGAAAGGGTGAGGGGAATTCTTTTAAACAAACAGTAAAGGGTGGATACAGGGATGCAGGTGGTGCTGTGGTCTAAACCACAGAGCCTAGCGCTTGCCGATCAGAAGGTTGACAGTTCAAATCCCTGCGACGGGGTGAGCTCCCGTTGCTCAGTCCTAGCTCCTGCCAACCTAGCAGTTCGAAAGCACGTCAAAGTGCAAGTAGATACCTTCCGGTGGGAAGGTAAATGGCGTTTCTGTGTGCTGCTCTTGTTTCGCCAGAAGCGGCTTAGTCATGCTGGCCACATGACCCAGAAAAAATTGTCTGCAGACAAAGGTCAGCTGAGCTCCCTCAGCCAGTAAAGCGAGATGAGCGCCACAACCTCAGAGTCATTTGTGACTGGATTAACTGCCAGGGGTCCTTTACCTTTACCATTTTAAAGGATGAATGGGACAGAAGTATTTTGTCATTTTCGTTTTTATAAATCTCATCCGTGTCTGAGCTCTGGCGTCTTTCTTGACAGTTCAGTGGTTTCTGTACTTTTCTTCAGTGCTTAAATGCAGAACTCACCCAAGGCAAAACAGAGATGGTGTCCCTCTCTCCCCCAGTACCCAAGGCTGGCCGAGTTATTTTGACACCTGAGGCAGAAAATCTCACAAAACACTTCTCCTCAGGAATAATATAAAATAAGAATAAATTATTTATTGTCCTTTCGTGACTCTCACAATCGGCTGCCTGAGGTGGCTGCCTCGCTCTGGCCGGCTGGAATGCAGAAACACATATTGATGAGCTAGTTTCTCCTTCCCCATAGCAGGTCTACGGCTTTTCCTATAACATGTATATTGCACAAAGGAGGATTTGCATGGGTGACACACAGTTAGAAGCTATAGGATTAATTATAGAAAATGCCTTAAAAGCATTTGAAGACCTTGATGTTCCTGACAACCCCCCTTCCTTCCTTAGGGACAATCAGGTTTGACTTTTATGACCATTGTCTCAGTCCTGTCAACATCCTGATTCGCTTAAGGCCACAGGGCCAATTTCACAGGCAAGTCTCTGTAAATACTTAGCCAAGCCCTGGCAATTCTTTTTAAGTATCATGATGTTTTTATATCACCCCAGTAAATCTCTTAATAAAGTATTGTGTGAATTGGGTCCTGAAGTTCTATTTGGTTCTTGTAACACGGGTGGGGCATGCCTTGCATTGACTGATCAACTGGATAAACTTGTAGTGCTTGATAAGAATCCAAAATTATTATTCAAGACGAACCTTCTTCTTATGCAATATTTATCTCAAGTTTATTCTCTTCTGTTACTTAACTGACACAATGGATGTTTTCCCTAACATTTTAAGCTGTCCTAAAATTTACATTATGTGGCCTATCCCAATGCAAATAGTATGTCAGGAAGCATTCTGCTTAGACAAAGCCTCAGTGTCCCATTTATCTTATGTAAAAACAACAAAAAATGACTAAAAATAAAATAAATAGTGAACACTCTGTTTGGGCTAATCAAGAACAGCAAGTAGCTTCTTCTTTCTTAGTGTAGCTTCTGATCCAGATCCATGTGCATATAAACCTGGCAGAAAACACCAAATGTTCCACATTTAGGACTGAAAGTTCCACGATGTTTTCCTTTTAAGCATGCTGGGAACATAGGAAGTAGCTTTCTGTCATGTCAGACAATTTGTCCATCTAGCCTAGCATTGCCTACTCTGGCAGTGGCTCTGCAGGGCAGATTCTTCCACATCACTTCCTACCTGACCTTTTCAGTGCAAGACACCAGGAACTGAACCAGGGACTTTCCCCACACAAAACTTGTGTTCTGCCACTGAGCTATGGTCCCTTCTTCTCCCCAGTATGTATGTCAGCTGGAAGTGTGGAAGCTGGCCTCAACAGACATCTCAAAGGTACTTGTTTCCAGTAGGGATTTCTCAGTACTGGAAAGGAGGACTGCTGTGTGTTGCTTCAAGCTAATTTAAATCATTTTTCTGTTGACGACGGCATGGGCATAGCTTGCTCTGTTCCACCTCCTTCTTGTTTTCTCTGTGCATCTCCTCCTCCATCTCTCAATCCACTTGCAGCTTTCTCCTCTCCTCTCATGATCACTTGCAGGTTTCTCTTTATTTCATATCCGTATCAATTTTTTATCCTCTCTCTGGGCTGCCTCAATCCCAGGCTCAGTGAAATAGCTGTCCACTTTCCATCCAAATACACAGGGAGAACACTATTTTCTTACCTTTATATGTTACTTTTCTTCCATCATGGAACGCATCATGTAATTCCTAGGTGGCTACCGATCCAAGCCCTGACCAGACCCAGACATGCTTAGCTTCAGCAAAGTGGTTGCCCAGTGTGCCTTCAGAACATACCTTGGTTCCATGACCACATTCTCCTCCCCCTCCAGCATAACCCTGTTTGTCCCCAAAATTCATCAACTAGTTGAGTAAATTGGGCATTTGGATGGAGAAAAGGATATAGATAGATGGGAAACATTTAAACTAGTTAATGTCTGCAAGGCAAGCTTCTGTTATAGAGGAGCAGACTGATAGCAAGGTGGCAATCCTATACCAAAACTGTCCTGTGGCTGCACATTGTAAAGGGAGGTTGCAGAAACTTGTCCATCACTATGGATATTTGCATCAAAGCACTGTCAATAAGCTTTCAAGAAACCAGACTTTTCCAGAACACAGTTCTGCTTTTCAAAAATATATTTACATCTCAACTTTTCAGGATGTTCCATGCAGCTAAGCATTATAATAAATAAATATCTCTTCAGTTGAGAGGAACTAAAGTATCATGTCCCTAGCCTTACCCATCCCTGGCTTTCAGGGGAGCCTCCCTGGAGCGGTCTAATTATTAAGAGTCAGTCTCAGAACTGTTGAGGAAATGAGTGTGTGCCTCCATTCTAAACAGCAAAACTTTTCTCTTGACCATTTTACCTGCTTTGTGGCCCAACATGTTCTGCTCCACTTTACCCCGCACCCTTCAAAGATGCAAGAAACAGCTGGATAGCTCTGTTGGCTAGAGTGTGGTGCTGATAACGCCAATGTTGCGGGTTCGATCCCTGTAAGGGACAGCTGCATATTCCTGCATTCCAGGGGGCTGGACTAGATGATCCCCAGGGTCCCTTCTAACTCAATGATTCTAAGAAAGCAGATTTCATGGAAGACTACCAAGTTTCCACTTTGTGGGCACATCATTACAGTACCTGTTCATGTTGCTGGTTCAGTACGACTTTATGCAACTCAAAGTGCTACACTTTGGTGTGACCTCAGCAATGGTAGCAGTCTTTTCTCACATGGCATTCCTACAGCACTAATAGGAACTCTGCTGTGCAAACTGCACAACTCATCCAGGCTCACTCACACCTCTGTCAGTTGCACAGTTAAGTGATGTGTTTGTATCAGATGAA